GTACAGTATATGCAGTACCAGCTGGAAAGTTCTTTTGTTTTTAACTTTTCTCTTGTGGTGTGCTAGTTACTGGTGCCTAAAACTTCGCTTCTGCTGAGCTGGTAGCAAGATGCCATGGAACAAAAATCCCTCTTTCGGACCAAATGAAAATATTACATTGCTAGTCCCCAAATGGGCCATTTGTGAGGTTAGAGAGGAATGTTAGTTTCAAAGTCACAACAATCAGCAGACAGACAGTGAAATCGAACTAATAAAATACTGACTCCAGTTTGGATCTGTTACAAAACTAAGCATTTAATTGCAAATAAAGAAGACTGTTTATTCTGTGAGAAGTGACGGAGATAAGTTATTCTTATTCCCACATCAAGCACAGAGGCTTCTGTCAGAACTAACAGATTTTGTACTCTGCAAATAAAAGTATAGTTAAAATGAAACACATAATAAGTGAAGTGAAAAAGTAAAAGCTGAAGAAACAATGAAATCCCCAAACCCTTCCAATTCCAGGTAGCAGAGTTAAGAGACATTCTTTCCCAGCAGGTTCCCCCTATCAACATATTTATTCTCTTTTACTTCCATATGGCATCTGAAAAAAAAGAAAAAAAAAAAAAAGAACCCTCCCCACACACACTTTACAGTGGTTCACCAGGCCTTATGGGTGACCTTTTAAAATAAAACAACTGTGCACTGTTATTTAGGTCTTTGGAAGGACCACTGGAGCAGAACCTTCTATTTCTCTATAGCTCTCATGTTAGACGGCGTCTCTCCTCGAGGCTTGTGCATTTTGGTTTTGGATGAGAGGGATGACTACATGGAGCACATTTTAAGGGCAGTGCACCTAATTGTCGCTATTCTTTTTTTTTTTTTTTTTTGGAAGGGGAGAGGAGTTTTCAGAGGTGTAGATGGCAGTTAGGCACTTTGCACTACAAGTTAATGGGAGTTAGGTGCCTAATTGCCATTTGTGCCTTTGGAAATCTTCCCCTGGATTCCTAGTTCCAGACAGATTGCCCTGAAAGTGTTTAGCTGTATGTCTACACAAACTAGTCTGTCTCCAATTCTTGGTCTCTACAGTACCTCTGGAGTTGGCTGCAGCACAACCTTTCTAATATTTCATCTCCAATTATGCTTCCCAGCTTTTAAGGGAGTTTGTACTCAGACAAGATATCTGCAGGAAAAAAAAAACCCCAAGATATTCCAGACAGAGAATAATTTTGCCACCGTATCCTTAGCTGTGCTTTGTGGGTTTTTTTTTTAAATATAAAAGACAAAGTAATCTTTGCTTATATAAGAGCTATTTTTATTCTCTAGTTATTTTATTAGTTTTATATAAGAAAGGTTAGTGGATTTTTCAGGTTTGATTTCCTCAAACTAGTTCCCTCACTTTCATGGTAAGTAAAATTAAGTAGGTATGCAAGCAAAGGACCAATCCTGCAGTCCTCACATTGTCCAGACTTCTGTGGACTTGGATTACTTTTGTGGGAAGTAAGAACCACAAAATCAGGCCCATAATTGCTGCAGCTTGTACTAAAGCAAATTAGTACACACATGATTCCCACAAGAAAAGTCAGAAAATGAACCACAGGATACACTGAGTTATTAGCAGTTGAATATTCATTGTTATTTCCACCCCAGTCCGGTAAAGGTAAAGAGAAAAACAAGTTGGCCTTCGTATTGTGCTACATGCTATTCCCATCTGGTTTATCAGATACAGGGGCTTAGAATCACTATGAGTTTCTATTCTGAATTTCCTGCAAGGTCTCCCACCTGAACCATGGGTGTAAACCCATAGAAATAGTGGAGGAGTCCCCAAAACTTGCTGAGGTTCTGACTTCCATAGTGGGTAGGAGAATCACATGGAGGTCCAGGGCCTCTGTATACCTCCTTTGACTCCACCTTCTCCATGACATCATGGCTCCCATAGGAATGTCCCATTGTATGACTATTTAGGCCCACATTTTCAGAAGTAATCTAATTTTGTGAGCCTCATTTTTTTTGGTGGCCAACTTTAGACACTGGGGGCCTAATTTTCAGAAGTGCCAGTTGTGTCCAACTCAAGTTTAAGTCAATGGGCACTACAAGTCTGCCATTCCTCTGTAAATTAGTTCTTATATGTCTAAACTTGGAGACTGAAAAATGGAGATACCTAAAATTAGCACACACTTTTGGAAACAAGCATTTTTAAGTGGGTGGGTGTGATTATTGACCAAGAGGTATGGCTAAAATCTGTGCTTAAATAGGAGAGAGTCTAACAGCATCCTATGGGGAGCTATTGTTGATAATAAAAATTAAAAAAAACAAGGTGAGAATAAAACAGCAGCAAGTGAAACTGCCCTCTCAGAAAGCACTGGTTTGTTTTAAAGAGAGTGTTGATATTCTCCATAAGCCTCAGTCATGTCCCACAGGACTATGGTGTGTCTTGTAATGGTATAATCAAAAAGCAATGGTGCTCTGAACTTGCAAATACAAGGCCTGATCTTCCTTCCATTTAAATCAATGAGTGTTTTGTTATTGACTTCAGTGGGAACAAGAGCAGGCATACGTTCATCTGTAATTAATCCTATGTGTAGTTTATCTGCACATTTGCTTATCCAAATGATTCTAACTGGAACCAACAGTGTACACTTATATATGAATGTCTGTCTATAGGAAAGCATGAATGTGTGATTGATTTAATAATGTGTTTTTAATCCAAATGGTCTTGGAATTTGTAAAATGATTCCAATTACCAAGACTGACTTAGCTGATGCCTGCACATTCCCCCTCATAAATACAGAGTTACATTATTGTAGATCAGTAATTCTTATTTGCATATATGCTAGAAAATGCAAATAGATTTTTAGGTTATTTTTAAATCTTCTCAATTATGTATCCAATTAAAATATTACACATTGTTTTAAACCAGGACAAACTTTTTAAAATACCCAATCCATCAGCCATGGTTCTTGGTTTCCTTGAAGCACAGTTTCTTTGATGATTACTAGAAAATTGCAATAACTGACAGGTAAAATTGTTGATAATACAGGACCAAATCCTGATTGCTTTATTTATCCGAATAGTCCCATTCAAGTCAATGGACTATATTCAGCTTTGGTGTAATTCCATGGGAGAGAATTACACCTGAATGAATTTAGCCTGTTGGGACTATTTGCATTAGTAAAACAAGCAGGAATTAGCTCATAAAAGTGTGGGTAGAATTTTATTTTATTTTTAAAATTAATGAATGGTATATATCCATTTTAACATAACTCTTTCAAAATAGAAATCTACTTCATGTTATAGGAAATTACATTCCTTTCAGATTTCCTATTTCAAAGAGTGCCTCAAATTTCCAAGATTTCCAAGAGAGTTTTTGTATAAGTAATAAAAGTCTTTAAAATTAAAATGCTAATTGTAAACAAACCCAAATGCATGAAAAATATAGTCTGACTGCATAACAAAAGAGAATTATATAATTCTATTTGAGTGAAATCTTTCATCTTTGATTTACAGGTTTGAGTCCCCTATAACTGAAACCATATTGTTCCATATCTTTCATATCATGGCATTCCCCAAAATCTTGTTTTAATTAAGGTTTCTTTCAGATTTCTGAATAAAAAGCATGACAGTCTTCACTTATGGCTTTAATATATCCTTTGAGTTTGGAAAATATATAAAAAATGAACATCACTTACTTTCAAAAGCAAAGCCAGCTTTCAAATACTGCAAGTAGAATTCTTCAAGGTAAGTAAAACAGCTCCCAGGGTTGACTGGTGGTGGTGGGGAAGTTGTAAACAAAACTAAACTTGCTGTATCACAATTTGTGTTCATTTAAAGTATTCTACATAAATGCCCTGTTCCCTTTTACCTTCTCTGACAGTAAGGCAACATGTGTAATAGTTTAAGTGTTCATTATCAGCTAAAGGCACAATTCTATGTTACGCTCTCAAACATTAATTTAAGGAGTTAAAGTCACTTTTCAAGGACATTTTGCTTTAAAGGATCTAAAATATAGACTAAACCCTTTGAAACTTTTTAAGCAACACTAACTTCTGTGGGTCTGCAGTAATGAAAATAATCTGTTTGCATTCAGATGGTGCTGTAAAAAAACCTCTCAACAAATTATCACTGCAGAAACACCTGAGCTTCCAATGAGCTGCACACAGATACTTTTTCTTCTTAAAGTCAGGATGCAAAATAAACTGAAACAACTTTTGAAAAATCATCCATTTTTCAGAGACTATTTGAGTCTCTAATGCACATATGCTGAAAGCTACTGTCAACTATGCAGAGTGCAGCATTTTTAAAAAGGCAGAAGATCACTCATTGTAGAGAACCTTGATTATGGTGTTATTGATATAAAATTATACATTAAACAGGGATATAATTCTAGAAAGAGAGAAAATAAAATAAAGCACCACTAAGCACAGTACTTTGTGGGACTTAAAGTACAGTAAGCAGTGCTTTCTTTTTAGCTAAAATTCCCTCATCCTAATTTACGTCTTTAATTTATCCAAACAAGATTTCAGTACATTGCCTTAAATAAGACACAGTTTATGAGCTATCCATTATTTCATTACACTGAGCACAGAAAACAAATTCTATTAACAATTTAACACAGTGTGAAAACAATTACCCAGTAAAAAGTGTTTCAGACTGTCAGAAAGAATGATTCGTGGCGTTTCCCCAGAATTTTGCTGGATGTTGCAATTCTTGTAGCTATCAATAATCTATCATGTAGAATATTTTAATATTTCTATTTCACAATTTATGTCAGTGAGTGGGTCACACAGCATATTAAAAGCATGCACTAGGCTCTTTCTCTCAAGCCTGATTTATTGTAACTTTAGAATTGTAGTGGTTACATTTAAGGAATCTTTAGGGCCCTTTCAAGTCCATCCAAAGAACAAGTGAAGTTGCTGTTCAGAGTTTTGTGCCCAGTGTTTATGTTCCATCTGATCTGTGCCACCCAAGCAGCAGACAAGACATGTCTGAGGGTGCTTTGGGGGGATACACAATGATGTCACACACAGGAAATATCAGGGAGGACTTGGCACTTCACAAGGCTGGCTCTTCTTCCATGGGCTCGCCAGCAGCTCTGTAAAAATAAACAGGCAATCAGAATACAGCGCAAGAGTACACAATGACATTGTAGATTTTCATGCATAATCAAAGCTGATTTTTCAGCTCTCTCTGATGTTTATTTGTGTTATTCAGTTATCCATAAATAGAGTTTCTTTCTTAGGAAGTATAAACAAATGTCAAGTGGAAAAACATTTTAGATCTAAGCAATCACTGCAAATGTTCCTGTTTATATTAAAATATGTCAGAATATTTTATAACTTTAGGTTCAGAAATGTGTCAGCAAAGTCAAATAATTTAATGAAAAAATTAGCTGCGATACTTTTATTTTTCAAGCATTTGCAACTAAAAATAAATTACTCTTCTTCAAATGGGACCATACCATTAAAACCAAATAGTTACCATGTAGTAGTTAGCTGATATGCCAGTCCTCTGATTTTTGCTTCTGCACTTTCATACCTACAATGCATGTCTTCCTAACATTTCTAAGACCAAATTCTGAATGTGATTAGCAGATCGCTGCCACACAGCAGGTATCTATTAATAATATATAATCAGATTAGATACCTATCCTTTATTAGAAATCATCTGGGAGACATTCCGCTCAGGCAAAACCAAAACTGACTGTTAAAGATGTACAGCTGGTGCAAACTGCCATAGCTCTATGACAAGTTACGCCAGCGGAGGATCTGCCCCACTATCAGCATCCACTATATAAGGAATTGTCAGAGATTATATTAGAAACCTCATTGTTGAAAGGCTTAAGAATTTGGACGTGACCATTTTTTTCCTAAGAAATAATTTGACAAACAATATCTAAGCTTGGAACTTCAGTTGAAAAAAAAAAGGCAGTTCAAGCCATTTTTTACATGAGAGGAGGGCTAAACCAAAAAGAGGCTTTACCAATAAATCTCACTTAATGTTTGGATTCAATAAAACCTCCCCCAGGAAGTGGAAGCTCTCATGCAAGCCCTAGAAAATTAATGATGTGGGGCTTGCGTAGCCTTACATGGGTTTCTGCAGCAAGGAAGCCAAAGAACTTTAACTGAATCTGGACTTTATTTAAGGCTCCTCCAATGAAAATTCAGTAGTGTCTCTTTAAAAGAATTTATACAGGTTATTAATCCAATCACTAATCACTTCTGGTATTTTGAAAAAAATAAAATAAAATGAGCGTGATATGAAAAAGCAAATGTCTTCTAAGTAACTACTTTCCATAAAATGTTTTACAATGTGTTTGGATTATTAATCCATAAAGCACAAATCCTTCCCCCTTCCCCACGCTGTGGAGGGTCTCATATGCAACGTAACCACTCACGTTCTGCTGCTCCTGGGAGTTGAAAGGGAATGGAATTTATGGGAGCTCTGCAGAAGTGTACACCCATGCATACAGCTCTGTGTTGGTATGTTTGAAAATGTGGCAGGAGCAGGGCTGGATAGGATTGGTGTATCTATTTCCAGACAAACTGCCCATTGCCACACATGGCATATGTTCATGGAAATTTTAGGGAAAAAGTAGGTTCAATTTTTCACTGGTGTTTTTTAAATGCTCCAATGAGCTATGCAACCTGATGAAGGAGTCCCAGTCCCAGTCCTCTCTTGAGATCACGAACACATGGCTTACTACTCAGTGTGGTGCACTGAATTCCACGTGATAGGGTATAAATGCCCCACTGACTCTGTCGTAAATATGCACTCATTACAACATCTCAAAGTGAGTCATCGCTGCGTATACAACACGTATATTAAGGCTAACAGAGAAAATGTACAAAAATCAAGGTACAGATAGACAAATTGTCTTAGGATGGTTGATTTGTGTGAGAGAGTAGGGGTGTGTTGTATAACATAGGGCTTTCATAGCATTTGCCCCCAAGACTGCACATGAGTTGCAATGGAAATGGGTCCCAGAATAGAAGCCTATCTGCTACCACTGGAGGTGAAGAGAGAGCCTCCTAATAGCCTCTCCACAAGGCTTATCATAGCATTCATATGATTCTATACTTGATGTATTGGCTTTTCTATGATTCTTGACTGTCTCACCTGAACTCTGCTAATCCATCTCCCCAGTGGATGCATCTAATATTTCAAACTTCTGAGCCGTTTCAAATAGCTGCCATTTTGTGCCATAGACAACAGGCCAGATAAACAAAGCCATCTTTACCCCAATGTGAATTCTCCCATATTCTAATTTATCCCCCATCTGGAAGGATCAGGATGGGCAGTATTAGGTCCTATACCAGTGACAGGTTACAGGTCCATTAGCTTCCTACCCTTCAGAGCTTCCAACCATTTCAAAGGGGAGAGTCCCATCTTTTTACTAAATCCACTTAGAGCCCTGGAAGATCACAATATATCAGACTATAAAGTCATGCTATTTTTATGTATAGAAAAGTTATTAAAGAACAGTTTTTAGGGATTTTGACAATTGTGTTGATTTTAACAGACCATCTTCTTTCATTTATATTCATGCAACCATTGACTTCAACAGGATTGCAAGGATTAAGCTAACAGCAGAAATTGACCATATTTTACATATATATAATATGTGTCTGTGTATATATATATCATTACCCACACACACACAGCCACCTATGTAGAAGTGATACCCACATGCCAAATTGAAAATCCATGGATTCTTAGACATATTATCTTGCAACTTTGATCACTTCACCTGGTTTCTCTGCTCACTAATCCATCTTCCTTTGGATTCATTCTCACATCACAACTTAGGAACTGACATACGGAATCGGACTTGAAATCCATCTAGTCCAGTGTCCTGTTTCTGAGAGTGACTGGTAGTAGATCCCTCCAAGAAGGTGAAAGAACTCGACCGTAGAAAGGTCTGGGATAATCTGCCCACCCCACCTCCGCCTCCCAACACACATACGCACGTTAGGTCTCATCCTTGTCTCTAAAAGTTAGAGATTGGCTTAAAACCTGAAGAATGAGGTTTAATATCCTTTCCAAATTTTGTTATTAATAATGATAATGTTGGATATACTTGCTATCCATATAAATAAACAATCTCTTTTTGAATCTTGTTAAGTTCTTGGTCTCAATGACTTCTGTGGCAATGTTTAATACATTTCCTTTCTCAGTTTTCAATTTTTGTCTTTGTTCTTGTATTATAACAAGGAGAACTGAAGATCCTGATCTACCTTTTCCATACCATGATTGTTTTATATGCTTTATCATGTTCCCTCTTACTCATTTCCATCTAAGGTCAAGAGTCCCAATCTTTTCAATTTCTTTTCATACGAGTGTTTTTTGGTGCCCTTGATCATTCTCATCACCATTCTCTGAGCCCGCCCCCCTTTAGTTCTGTAATAGCTTTTTGAAAATGGGGTGATCAGCACAGCACACAGTGCTGCAGATAAGGATGCACCATTGATTTATATAAAGGTATTATACTATTCTTTGTATTATTCACTATCCTATTCCTTATGCATCCTAACTTCTTGTTTGCTTTTTGACTATAGGTGCACATAGAGCAGAAGTCTTCATTGAGCTGTCAACAATGATCCCCAGATTTCTTTCTTGAGTTGATACTGTTAATTTAGATCCCTGAAAAATGTATGAGTAGTTCAACTTTTTCCCTCCAATGTGCATTTTATCAGCATTGAACTTCAGTTCCCATCAAGTTGCTCTTTCACCTAGCTGGTTTAATTCTCTCTGAAGTTCCACTCAGTCCTCTCTGGTGATAACTAACCTAACTAACCTAAATTTTGCTACTCACTATTCACTCCACTTTCCAGATCATTAATAAACCTATTACATAACACTGAACCTACTACGGACCTCTGAGGCACCCTTTGTTACCTTTGCCATGATAAAAATTACTCTTTACTTTCTGTCTCCTAGCCAGCATTTGATGCATTACAACACTTTGCCTCTCACCCCATGATGATTTAATTTCTTTAGTAGCAGTCAAAGCCCTTTTGAAAGTCTAAACCAATTGTGTCAGCTGTTCTTCCTTCTCCACTACTGACATGTTCAAAGAATTCTAAGTGATTAGTGAGACATGATTTTCCTTTGCAGAATTCAGGCTGGCTAGATCCTAACATCTTATGATCTTCCAGATACTTGTTATTCTGTCTTTAATGAACCCATGAGCAGCTTCAAACAGTCTGGTTTTCAAAAATCAGCCTGCTGGGGGAAAAAAATTGTCCATCTGATCTCAAATCTGGAATTAAAACATTTATTTGGAATACTGTTTAAAATGGTTTATTTCTATATTTCTTTCATTCACTGTTAAGAATACCGGAGAAAAATTTATGTCACCAAAAAAGTGTTTTCCTCATTTTATAAATTGGAATTACAGAGATTTCTCAGCTCGACATCATCACACCGAGATTAAAGATAAAAGTATAAGGTATGTTTCTAAGCAACAGAGAACTGTCAAATGCTCAAACAGCATAAGAACATAAGAATAGCCATACTGTGTCAGACTATTGGCCCATCTAGCCCAGTATCCTGTCTTCCGACAGTGGCCAATGCAGGTGCTTCAGAGGGAATGAACAGAACAGGTAATCATCAAGTGTTCTGTCACCAATTCCCAGCTTCTGGCAAACAGAGGCTAGGGGGGAGGGCTAGCTCAGTGATTTGAGCATTGGCCTGCTAAACCCAGAGTTGTGAGTTTAATCCTTGAGGGAGCCACTTAGGGATCTGGGGCAAAATCAGTACTTGGTCCTACTAGTGAAGGCAGGGGGCTGGACTCAATGACCTTTTAGGGTCCCTTCCAGCTCTATGAGATAGGAATATCTCCATCTATACATACAGAGAGAGCACATGGTTTTGCATCCCTGCCCATCCTGGCTAGTAGCCATTGATGAACCTATCCTTCACAAACTTATCTAGTTGTTTTTTTAACCCTGCTATAGACTTGGCCTTCACAACATCCTTTGGCAAAGAGTTCCACAGGTTGACTGTGCGTTGTGTGAAGAAATACTTCCTTGAGTTAGTTTTAAACCTGCTGCCTATTAATTTCATTTGGTGATCCCTAGTTTTTGTGATATG